CGTTCATCAAAATGAACAAATCTTTTTTCGAATCATTTGGTTCATTCAACGAACAAAACTAACGAAATGACTTGAAAAAAAGATTTCGAACGAGTTCGAACAGGAGAGTCACACATTTGTGCTTATAAAACTTAAAGTTTTGTATTTATTTTTGAAATGACTGGTCGTTTCACTTGATAAGACCCTTATTCATCGTCTGGTGTCGTTTAAAGCCCTTTGAAGCTTCACTGAAACTCTCTTTTGGACCTTGAACCGTTTGGTCCCCATTGAAGTCCATTATATGGAGAAAATGCTGGAATGTTTTCATCAAAAACCTTAATTTCTTTTCGACTGAAGAAAGAAAGACATGGACATCTTGGATGACATGGGGGTGAGTAAATTAACAGCAAAAGTTTTTTTTTAACTCCTTTAACTAACTCTGCTTGGATAAGGGAACTCGTAGATAAAGTCTGATCACCGAAAGGTTGTTCTCCCGTTCAGTGACCGATCCATCATCAGCACTGAGCGCTCAATCAGGACACTTTAATCTCAGGTTACTCCAGGACTGAACCTGTAATCAGTGTAAGCAAACCATCTGTAAATTACATCCTCGATAGTTACAGACAAGGGTGATTCTGGCTGTGAGAAACACCTAAACACCTCATTTATTTGAAGGAGTGTGTGTGTGTGTGTGTGTGTGTGTTTGGCAGGACGTCCAGAGCATCGACACATCCCTGATGGACCCGGGCAGCAGTATCACAGTGTTGGCCGGTCCGAGCGCGTTCAGAATCCCCGTCAGCATCAGGACCAAACTGTGCAGCAGCCTGGACGCCCCACACACACGCGGCAACGACTGGAGAATACTGGCACACAAGCTCAACCTGGACAGGTGACATTTACACACATCACACTCGCAATGATGCAGCCCTTCAATTAATTTTTCATGAGAGTTTATTAAAAAAATCTAAAGGAGTCTCTTCTGCTCACCAGGCTACGTTTATTTGATCAATAATGCAGTAAAAACAGTAATATCGTGAAATATAATGTAACTGTTTTCTATATTGTAAAATGTAATTTACTGAATTTTCCTGCGCAGTCTCACCCCAAAAAGTCATATAACTGACGTTTTGGGACGTCTTTTGACCATACGTCAATATTCGCCTTTTTAGGGCCCCCTTAAACGTCGGTAGATGAGGTTATGGGATCCTAACTCTACCCCAGACCTAAACCTAACCCTAAACACTAACTGACGTTAAAGGTAAAGCGTCAGTTGTATGACGGCCCGGGATCGCCATCTAGCGACGTTTAAGGGGGCCCTAAAAAGGCGAATATTGACGTATGGTCAAAAGACGTCCCAAAACGTCAGTTATATGACTTTTTGGGATGAGAATGTGTTGAATTTTCAGCATCATTACTCCAGTCTTCAGTGTCACATGATCCTTCAGAAATCATAATGGGCTGATTTGCTGCTCATTATTATTATCAATGTTGAAAACTTTGATAAATTCATCAAGTTAATGCATCCTTGCTGAATAAAGGTATATAAATAATAATAAAAAGTCATACTGACCCCAAACATTTGAACTGTAATGCACTATATCAGATTCTATATCTGTATGCCAATATTTTATTTTAATTACAAGTAGTTCAATAGATATTGGAGGCAAATAATATTAGGGCTTGTGTTTTTACCGTATTTCAATATTTTTCTATGCCAGCTTTACCAACATGCATGCACTTAGGCTTCTTTTTTAAATAAATAAATTAGGCCTGTCAAACATTTACATACTACTGTATATGTGGTGCACTGTGCTTTTTTATAAATTATATATAAAATATATATAAAATTATATATAAATATTTATATAAAATATTATTATTTTATATAAAATATATAAAATAATAACATTATAAAATATATGTAATATAAATTATATATAAATCTATATACAGTATATACATGAAAATATTTCTTAAATATATGAAGAGTTCAGATGCAAAAGCCTCTAAATGCCATTTGAAATTTTCTTCTTTAATGATGATTTTTTATCAAACTTGTACATTTAAGTTCAGTGATTTCACTTAAATGGCAATGATAATTACCTATTAATTGTTATTTAAGTGAAATTACTGAACTTAAATATACAAGTTTGATAAAAAAATCATCATTAAAGAAGAATGGCATTTAGAGGCTTTTGCATCTGAACTCTTCATATACAAGCTTGGGTGTGTAAAATAATTATACATTTATTTATATTTAAATATATTTATAATTTTGGATGTGATTAATCGCGATTTATCGTTTGACAGCCCTAAAATAAACACATTATGCTCAAAAATAAAACAAAATACCATCTACAGTACAGTAGTTCCCTGCAACACGGCAAGCTCCATGCTAATTTCTATAAAATAAGTCAAGGTTTTTAAATAACCTCGTACCTAGTATGAATATTTGTTTATCTTCAATGTGCTGAGACTGCAGTGTGTATTTTTTTTTTAAAAAACGATAGAAGAGAAACAAATCTGCACTAATAGAATCTCACCGGAGAGTTTGAAGGAAATGAACGGAACGTGTGAAAACAGCAGGGGAGCGAAAGAGAAATTTCCTGTTGTTCTTTTGGGTCTGCCTGGAGAATAGCAAGAGATAGATTCACTCTCTCTGACATCAACTTTTCAAAACACCAGCATCTCTATGCACCTCCACAACTGGCGTAATTAGAGAGGAAATGTAAAAAGGCGAAGGACCCCTATGGTTTGAGTTCTGGCTGGGGTGTTACTGCAGGACGGTTAAAGTACCAGAGATCTCATTTCAAACGAGAGAGAGAGAGTTTAGGTGGAGAGCACGCTCTGAGGACCAACAGGCATGAAAGAGCCAGAAGACGAGAGAGTCTGAGTTCACAGGGGACAGGAAGTAGAGAGATAAAGTGAGGAGGATTCTGGGAAAAAAGAAAGATGTTAAAAGCCGTGAGAAGTTCTTCATCAGTCGCAGACTCAAGATCTCCAGAGCTTCTGCACCTTTAACAAACTGTTCAAAACACAACTCACACACTGCACTATATGTGTTTAAGCTTTGAGAAATACAGGATCTGATGATGTTATGTGCCATTATATTTGTTTTATGCACACATGAGAAAAAGATGGGAAAACATGAAGTGGTGAACAAATACAAAGCAACAAGCTGTTATCAAGGGGTTTAGCACCTTATAGAAATATAGAATTCAGTTGTTTTATTGACACTCACAGGTGTGTGTGTGTGTGGATATTTTTTACCATGAATTAATCAAATGCAGTGGTGGAATGTAACGAAGTACAAATACTTCGCTACTTTACTTAAGTATACATTTTTCATGTATCTTTACTTTACTTAAGTAGAATAAATAGTGCCTACTTTTACTTTTACTTCGTTACATTTTGCAGCAAATTATTCTACTTTCTACTCCACTACATTTCTACAACTTCTGTTACATTTTCATTACATTTTCTGATCAGTTTTTTCCCCTGCAAAAAACGTAATCTGACCGTCCGTCCGTTGCACGTTGTCTCAACCGGTGACGTTTGGTTGCCATAGATACATCAACTAAATGCGTCTCGCACGCAGTGTGTTTATCGTGCAATTTACACGCGAAAATTTGTTTTTACGTGGATAGGAAACACACCGTGTGTAATATACGTTTAGTTAAGATTATGGGAAACCAAGAGGTTCAGAAATTACACCATAAATTAATCTCGTTTACTGACAAACATAGTTATAAAACATATAGTAAGGATAAGCATGGTTTATATTGCCTAAAGCTTGTTTCAGAAATGGTGACAAACAATTTTTTTCCCCATCATTACTGAACATCATTATAGGAGTATTAGTTGAATGAGTTACAATTAAATGTTTTACTAATCATTAGAAAATAGTCATAAGAGAATAAATTGTTATGCAAGTACTTTTACTTTTTAATACTTAAAGTACATTTAAAATAAAGTACTTTTTACTTTTTACTTAAGTTATGGTGGTCATTGTGTTACTTCTACTTTTACTAAAGTAATTATTTATCTGGTTATTTGTACTTTTACTTAAGTACTGAGATTCAGTACTTCCTCCACCACTGATCAAATGAATTGCGTCCATCAATATTTACTGATAAAAAGACCTCAAATAAAGATCAATCCAAGTCTATACATTATTGTGGCAGATGGTACATCATTTAATAGACATAAAGCAATTACTAGACATAATATTTCTGCAGTACGAATATCGTGTCTTTATGTCAAAAAGGTTTATAATCCCTGCTTTAAGGTTTTCCACCAAAGCAAAAACCATATGAAAGCAAAGACAGACATAAATATTGGTGTTTGTTAGATACATTTTATAGATTATCTGAAAAGTCAATTCATCAGTCATCAGTTGAAATCAGGCGTTGAGACACAAAATGACTATTGGTAATAATATTTGTATTATTATTATTATTAATAATAATAAAATACTTGTTTATTTGCAGTGCAGTAGTATTATTGCACTAGTAATACATTTCTTTATTTTTCATAAGAAAAAAAAACAATCCAAGGTAACATTTTTATATGTCATTAAAATAATAACAGATATTTTAATTAATAACAATAATATTTTTATTGTAGAAGAAAATAAAGACATTTTATTCATTTTTTTATTGAATTAGTTATCATATATATATATATATATATATATATAATTTTTTTTTATTATTATCCTTATTGTATTAGCCGTATTGTATTCATCAGTTTTTCATCCTTATGTGTCTCTTTAGCTGATCAAATGTTTGATTAAGTGGCTTTAGAAGTCCAAATAATGTTATATTATTGATAAATCCACTTTTTTTATTGTGTTATTTTCTGTTCTTTTATTTGTCAAAGTTCTAAATAAAAAGACAAAGTCAAACCAGATTTCACTGGATGATAAAAGAGAATAAAAAAACCTAGCTCATTAAAATGTTGATGTGTTGATGTGCTCCTGCCGCCCACCTCAGTGTGTGTGTGTTCATCTCACCCTACAGGTATCTCAACTACTTTGCGACTAAGACGAGTCCCACCGGAGTGATTCTGGACCTCTGGGAAGCTCAACACTTCCCACACGGCAACCTCAACCAGCTCGCCACGGTTCTGGAGGAGATGGGTCGTCATGACAACAGCATTGCTGCCATGGCGAAGGAACAATGACCCTTACAATAGCGGCGATGTCTAAGCTGAGGATAATTGAGCTCGAGTTGAGCTGCCACTTTCATCGAGCTGAAACAACCATCAAACCCGAGACAGTCAAAGCATCGGAGTCCGTGACCTTTGGCATCTTATTCCGTTTCCATGGAGATCTGCGCGGATGCTGCCGATTTGGGGTTGAATGCAGGGCTGGGGGGGGGGGTCAAAGGTGAACCAGGAACAGGGTCAAAACACTTTAAGCAACCAAAAATCTTTGGAAAACCCTCCAGTTTGCACACGTGCAGAAACCTCCCGCATCATCTCCCGTTTCTGCAGGAATGTGTGGTGCCATCTAGTGGTTACAGAAACAACACGCGCTCGTGTAATATAGTATTTTGAGACCTGAATACAGTATTTAGTGTGTCTACAGAGTACCTTAAAGTGGCCTTTCAAATGCGGTTAACGTTCAGATCTGATTAGGATTGTATTATTTTTGTAAGAGCCGTGACATATATGCGTGTTGCTTTGTTGAACAAAAGTGCAGATGAGCACTTGCAGGGATTTGAGGATAATGTTGCTCTTCGATGTGTGATGTGACGTCACACTGTAATGATCTTCACTGGCCGGACGGGTTCTGCATGGGCTGTTTCTGTTGTGCATCGATCTCAACGTTTATGCATTTCACTCTACTATATGCATAACACTTTTAAAAAGAGGCAATTGTATAAAAATAAAAAAGAAACCTTCCTATGGTGGTGACTATATGTGCCAGAATGTGATGGATACAACAGTTATTATTACCCTTTCACACTGCAATCCCAGTAAATTAGTGTCATAATTACCAGTGTGACTTTACCGGGAAATGCACGAATATCCTGTTCACAGAACATACCGTTACCGTTCACACATCAGCAACAAAAATCCCGCCGAATGTCAGTCATGAGAAAAACACGCCAACTGCCCACTCTTAGAATGGTTCTATTTAGAACCAGAAATGGTTCCATCCCCCGCTTCATATATGGAACTCCAAAATGGTTCTATATAGAACCATTTTTTTCGTAAAAGGTTCTATTGGCCAAGTATGGAACCCCAGGGTTCTATATAGAACCATTTTGGAGTTCCAAATACGTATATAGAACCTTTTCTTCTAAGAGTAAAGCAGGACCTCGAGATGTTCCGATACCCTTTTTCTATTCCCGATTCCGAGTACTGATCCGATACCTGGGTGTGTACAGTATCTACACAGCTGCAATTCATACTAGCACTGTATGAATTGATAAAATTATTTTATGGTGTGCTTCAGACTTATCCCGTAATTAAACATGAACAAATACATACAGTCAACTAGAGTATGTTTATTATCTGACATAGCAATTTATTATTTATTTTTCTTAAGTGAAAAAGGAATTAAAGGGATAGTTCACCCAAAAATGAAAATTCTAAAAAGCGCCGGAAGTGATCTCTTGGGCGAGAAAAAAAAAATAAAATCAACGTTGTCTGACGATTTCGATATATCACCAAACAACGTTGATTTTTTTTTCCCGCAACCACGCAAGAGATCACTTCAGTTGTTTCCGGCACATTCGTGTCTTAGGCCATCAATGTATACTTACATTTACATGTAAGTCATTAAATCATGTTTCATTTTAACTTCTCTGTGCATGCTCTTTGAGGTGGTGACCATAGACCTCCATTATATGACTGACAGACAACAACGGTTTGACCTAAAAATATAAAAATTGAAACTACTGTGGAAACAAAGACAGCTACATCTTGGATGCCCTTGAGGTAAGCTAAAACATACCAAAAAATAATTTCAAAGTGAATTAAGCAAATCTAGTGTGTATAACTAGTTATTGTTTAAGAAAAGGGTATCGGATTGGCACATGAATCTGCAAATAGTATAATGCATTTTAACGTTGTTTACAATGCTTTATGATAAGGTACATTATGTATACCTTTATAATGCATTATACACAGAGGCTCGAAGTCGCAGACTTTATGATTAATATAAGGATGTGTATCATGTGTGGGTTACTCCACGATATGAACCAGAATTAGAAAAAGTTCTGTTAGAAGAGATTTGATTTGCTATTCTTCTGAACACTGCTAGTACGCTGGAATCATGTTTCTGGTCAATATTAAATATGTCGTTCTGTCACCCCTTCACCCAGACACTTAAACCATCTCAGAACATTAGAATATACATGACTGAAAATAGACTAAACTGTTCTATTGAAGATTCTGAGAACTTTTCTTTTTTTAGGAATAATTTTGACTGATGAATCATTCACCAGACTACGGAAGCCCATCACTGCCACATTAGAAAAACGAATTATGCTTTGGTAAATCATAATTATGACAACAACAAAAATTGAAAAATGAAATTGGCTGTTATAATTTATAATCAGATTTCAACTTTTCTTGTTTTTCAAATATATATATACTTAATAATTTAAGTAACATAATTTCTACTTTTGCTGATATTACAACTTTTTATGTCATATTTCAACTTTTTAATGTTAGAATGTTTTTTTCCCTTTTCTTTTTTGTCATAATATTTTGGTTTTAAAGATGTTTTGGCAACATTTTGACTTTTTATCTCATTATGACTTATAATTATACTAAACGTTATAATTTTTACTGTCTTATTTCAACTTTTTTCATATTTTACTATTTTTTTTATTTTATTTTTTACATTTTTCTTCTTTTGTGACGGTCAAAATTATGATTAAAAATAGAAATATACATTTGATCATGAATTCAACTCAATTTAGACTGTCATTATTATGACTTTAGTCTTAACTTTTATTATGACAATTTTGAGTGTTATATTTACATTTTTAATGTTACAATTTCTTTTTTTCTTCTCTTTTCTTTTATTATAACTTTTAATATGTTGTAAAGATTTTAATTTTTATCTTACAAATTTGACTCTTTCCATATTTTAATTTCCATTTTCTTCTTTAAAATATGTTTTCTTTTATAACAGTCAAAATGAGGATCAATTTTATTTAAACATTCTATCATAATTTCAATGTATGTCATATTTATGACTAAGTACCTCATCATTTTTACTTATTTAAATTTTAAATAATAATTTCAGCTTATCACAATTATGTCTTTTTATCATTAGGATTGTCATATTTCAATGTTGTTTTATGTAATCATTTCTTTTCTTCTTTTATTATAATGTTTTTATGACTTATGTCATAATTTTGATTGGCTTTTTTGTCTGAATTATGATTTTTTTGTCTTCTTTTGGCAGCAATGGGCTTCCTTACATTAGGACCAGGAACATGATTTCATGTCAACTCAAAATATAGGAAATCATCGAAGTCTTTAGTTAAACTCACGAATCTTAAATGTGTTTACAGCCGGATTAGATGGTTTACAGTTAATGATGGTCTATGCAAGCGCTTTGCGAAGAAGCTGGCGTATTTTCTGCATTAATGTTTCTGCATAAATCGGTCACACTACAGTAGATGCGAGTGTTGTAAATGTGCTGGCAGTGATGTGAAACACAGGGCTCATTACTGGTGATCTGTCTGCAGTCTCACTGCCACAACCAGTATGAAGAGCCTCGAAACAACTGCCATTTCCCACAATCCACGGCGAGGATCTGTGCGAAAATAAAAGCCAAATTAATGAGCAAACCAAGGCAGCAGAAAAGCCCTCCTGAGGTGGAAGAGCAGTGCATTGAGTGTTTCTGTCCGGTGTGCCAACTATGCAACGTTTGCTTCTGTACAGGACGATGACAGAACCGCTTGCATTGTAATGACTTGCATGTACAGAGGATTGAATCCATAGAATAAAGCTTCATTAAAATAGCAATCAAAAAACACTAATATGTCCGCTGTATAAAATGTATGTAAAGGATTTTTTAAATAAATTATATTTTTAATCAATGCTGAAGGTGCTCTTGTTTTTTACTCTTTAAGACCAAGATTTTCTTTAAGATTTAATCTTTAAGATTACAATGGACATCACATGTCAGCCCCCTTTTTTGTAACTTCTGGAGCATTTCACTAGTTTAAAGCCTGCAGTCCATGAGATTGGACGTTTGTCATCCAATCAAATGCCAGTATGGCATGTAGTAATTATATATATAAAAAAACTCTACATTGAAGAGAAGCATGGCAGCAGCACTTCACTTCAAACACAGAAGCAAGCAACATTTTCTAAGGTGTATTTACATTTTGTATATATTTTTGCCAGTATTTCAGTTAGTAGGCTATGTAAAATAGAAAGATTGAACTTATTAATTAAAGGTGACCTAGAATGTGAAATTGAATTTATTTTGGCATAGTTAAATAACAAGAGTTCAGTAGGACGTGACATAGTGAGTCCCAAACACCATTGTTTTCTCCTTCTTACTTAAATCTTGTTTTTGAAAAACACCTCTGAAAAACAGGCGAATCTCCACATAATACCCACTGTTATGCAACAGTTGAGCAAGGATGTTCGTCAGTTTCCGGTTGGGGAGATTAGGGCGGAGGAAAACAGGGGAAAATGGGATTATGGCAGAGTCTTCAATATTTACTGTCCTCCCGTCTTTGAAACAAAACTTTCATACGTTTAGATATATAGATATTTTATATAGTTATGTTTATTTAATATAATTTTAAAAAGAAGCATAAACACAACGAGGGGTGTCTGTTTTTGTGACTACGTTTCTTTAGTATAACCATGGCAGACTGATAAGTGGCGTATGTTTACGCAAAAGTCATGTTGACCATGGAAATTCTCGTTATTGTATTGGACTCTACGATCGGCGGAAGTTATCGAGCATATTTAGACCTTCACCGGAAATGGGAAATACCGCCGCATAGAGATCAGTGTTTGGACCTATTTTTTACGGTCTATGGTTTGGACGTTCACATGAACACAAAAGTATTGTTTAGTTCCTTCATCCGAGCCTCTGAAGAAACAATGGATTAATTTTATTTTCTCTGGAAATTTCCAAACATTTCACCGACGGCTATTTCCTCAACTTGCCAAGAGCTGGCCTCGGATCGAGCTGATGTGTTATTGTTGTTCAAGTTCAGACAGGTAGGCTAATCTTTCTCTCAAAATCGCCCCTTCAAACGTTCAAATCTAAAATCAGGCTAGGAAAAATGCCTTTTATTTCTAAATTATGACTATTTTGGATCTAAAAAACATACTAACATTATAAGGGCAACCCAGGAAACATTATAAAATAATAAAAAAAAAAAACATTCTAGGGCACGTTTAGTTAAAAATCGACTGTAGAATTTCATGTTTTAAATCAGGATTTTTTAAAATGTGTCTGTCCACTAGAATGGACAGTTGGTTTGAAAGCCTGTTTCTGAAGTCACATTTTCTGTGATGCTGATTGAAATTTCTTTTATAATATATATATATATATATATATATATATATATATATATATATATATATATATATATATATATATATATGTATATATATATATGTATATATATATATATCACAGTGACAGTACCGATATATTTTTTAAACTTTTTCATGTGCAGAATATACAGTTCTGAAGTGCTTGAACATATAGCTGATGAAAATATCTCAGATGTTGACTTTATGTGGAGTAATGAGGAAAATGGAGATGTAAGAAAAATATCTGTATTTAAAACTTTATAAAGTAAAATAACTTCCGGCCAAAAGAACATATGGATTTGACTTCAATCTAAAGCACAACTTAAATATGAATATTTTAAATATTTTATATTAATATATATTTTTTATGGTTAGATGCTCTTTTATGATGAATAGATGCACTTGTATCATGGATAGATGCACTTTTATGGACTTTCAAAACAGAAACAACCATTTACAGCCAATATAAAGCTTGGAAGGGCCAGGACATTGTTTAATATAACTCTGATTGTTTTCGTCTGAGAGAAGAATGTCATGTACACCAAGGATGGCTAGAGGCCAGGGTGATTAAATCATGGGCTAATTTAAATTTTTGGGTGAACTATTCTTTTAAAGGTATAGTTCAACCACAAATTATATTTGTCATCACTTACTCATCCTCATGTTGTT